TGAATAAATACTTGGGCAGCACACCAGTATCCACTACAAATGTCAGTGAAGTTGGGACATATTATTTATTTGTTAGAAGTATTAATTTATCTCATAAATCTACATTTTAAGTGTTCTTGTTATGTCCTCAAGTTAAAGATAGAAACCGAGTTCAAGCCTACTTTGTTAAGCCTCGATTCTCAGATTGCCCAATTTCTTTGAACTATAATATAATACAGTTTTAAGCTATCTAGTGGGTGTCAGTAACTGTTCCCTCAATTAATATCAAATACTACTGCCAAGATGCTATATTAAAATACACGTATGACTCCAGGTTCTTAGAACTCCACTATAAAGAATGCTATTGTTTTACAAGTGGATCATTCTTAAGGGGAGCTTGCTTTAGTTCATGATAGATGGCCTGGGTACTATCTTCAAATAGTTTTTAGTTGAACATTTATTCTTTTACACAAAAGGATCAATTCTAATTGATCAAAATACTTAACACTAGATTGAAAACTCAGGGCAGAACCGTAACATTGTTTAGATTTTTTTTTTTTTTTTTTTGAGAGTCTCACCTGGGCTACAGTGCAGTAGAGTCAGCCTCCCTCACAGCAACCTCAGACTCCTGGGGTCAAGTGATCCTCCTGCCTCAGTCTCCCCAGCAGCTGGGACTACAAGTGTGTACCACCATGCCCAGCTAATTTTTTTCTATTTTTAACAGAGATGGGGTCTCTTGCTCAGACTGGTCTTGAACTCCAGACCTCACACGATTCTCTTGTCTTGGCCTCCCAGAGTGCTAGGATTACAGGCATGAGCCACTGTTCCTGGCCAGAATGTTTTATCTTGCATTATGCTTTATATCTCAAGTATTAACACAGTGCTCTGTTCATAAAGGGAGTTTGTTAAACACTGATATATTAAAAATACAGATTTCTTTACAGATGAGTTACTGTATTAAATTACCTAATTTCTGCACTTTATTTTTCCTTGTCAAGGTAAGAGAGAAGTAAGTTTTCAGGGATATTACAGGCATGGTGGCTCCCATGTGTAATCCCAGCACTTTGGAAGGCTGAGGTAGATAGTGGATTGTTTCAGGCCAGTAGTTCAAGACTAGCCTGGGCAATGTAGTGAGACCTCATCTGAACTATGACTGTACTGCTCTACTCCAGCCTGGCTGACAGAATGAAATCCTGTCTCTGCAAATAAATAAATAAATAAAAAAATAATCATCATCTGATGTTCAACAAAGATGGACAGAAAAATAAAGCAATAAAATCAAAGCATATTCTCAGTAACAAAATTACTGTGAATATATGTAAAAGATTCACTTCCAGTAAGCAATACAATTTAATTGCTATTTAGTTTATGGGAAGCATTTCCTACCGATTCTTTTTTTTTAGAGATAGAGTCTGGCTCTGTCACCCAGACTGGAGTGCAGGTGGTACGATCAAAGCTTAACTGAAACCTAGAAGTCCAGGGCTCAAGAGATTCTCGTGCCTCAACCTCCTAAGTTGCTTGGATTACTGCCATTGGTCCAGACTCTGATTCTTAAATTAACAAAAATAAAAGCTTGCTTTAAAAAATCACTATATAATACACTCAGTATTGTTAAGTGGTCCTAGATAATAGGGCCTGACTTAATAGTTGGTAAAATAGATGTGATTTATTTTAGTGTTAGAGAAACAGTCATAATCTTAGTGCTTTCCAGAACCTCTACCTAGAGAGAAGTAGCGTTCAAAGTCTTTAGCAAGAATGAGGTGAGTCACTGCAGTGAATATAGACAGCTTTGCTCTGGGAAACTAGAAACGTGTGTTCTCAGAGCACTGACATGAACAGCATGACATCTGGGCATTCCTCCCTCAGCTCTGTGTTTTACTTTAAAATTAGAGGATTTGTTAGCTCTTTCTGCTCCAAAATCATGTTGTACTTTTCTTTCTACAACCAGGAAGGGTTAAAAATTTAGTAACACTAGAAAAGACGGCATATTGAAAAATTAAATTTCTTTGCTGAGAAGAGTTTCTGAAGTAGATTAGAAGGGAAAACAGTATAACAGAGATGAGAAGAGGAAAGAAAGCCTACTTACTTTATACCCTTGTGTAAGGTTATTGCTGCTACTTCTAATTTTTCTTCCTTAAAAAAAAATAAAGTTTGATATAAAAAATAACCAATATTGATAATAATTTAGTAGATTCTTAACAAAATGCTTAGGAAATTACCTCCAAATATGAAGAAAACCACACTTCAGAAATAATTTCTAAGTATCCTAGAGATATACTAATTTGTGTATATCTAGTTACTAATTTGTATACATATATATGTAAGTCAAAAGTTTCAGACAAGCTAAACGGCCACAAAAGGGGGTACTGGTTACATTGATGATTCAGTACAATGGGAACAGTTCATAAGCCACTATTTGTGTAAAAAAGGGAGAGAGGAGAGAATGTATAACATTTGTGTGTATATGCACAGATTGACACTAAAAGGATACACAAGAAACTGCTTTTGACTGCCCTTTGGCACTGTTTAGTTTTTTACAAGTGTACATATTTTTTTAAAAAACTAAGAAATAATGACATTATCAAGAAAGTGAAAAGAAAACTTACAGGAGAAAATATTATAAAGGTCTAGTATCTAGACTATATAAAGAACTCCTAACTAGAAAGAACTGTTAAAAAATGAACTGGAAAGAACTCAGTTAAAAAAATGAATAAGGGGCTTGAACAGACATTACTTTAAAGAAGACATGCAAATGGCCAAACACACATGAAAAGATGCTCCATTTCATTAGTCATTAGGGAAATACAAATCAAAACCACAATGAGAGACCACACCCATGAGGATGGCTATAATTTTTTAAATGGCAAAGTAAGTGTTGGTGAGTATGTGGAGAAATTGGAACTCTCATACATCAATGGTGGAATGTAAAATGGTGTAGCTGCTGAGGTAAAGTTTAGAGTTCCTCAAGTTAAACAGAATTACTAGGTGATCCAGCAATTCCACTCCCAGGTATATACCACAAAGAATGTTTAAATTTCAAAATATTAAGAGGGTACAAATGTTTTTGTTACTTGGATAGCTTTTAAATGCTTGAGTCACAAGTATAAGTGTGCTCATCACCTGAATACTGTTCATTGTACCTGGTAGGTAGATATTTTTAACTCTACTCTCCCCCCACTCCCACTTGATTTCCAATGACTTTTATTTCCCTCTGTGCACATGTGTGCCCATCAGTTCCGATTTATTAGAAAGTACATGTGGTGGTGGTATTCCATTCTTGAGATACTTCACTTAGAATAATTGTTTCTACCCCAGAGATTTGAAAACACAGACTTACTTGTACACAAATGTTTGTAACACCAGCATTGACAATAGCTGAACAGTGGAAACAACCCAAGTGTCATCAACAGATGGATAAACTTGTGGTATATACATATAATGGAATATTACTATTCAGCTATAAAAAGGAATGAAGTACTGATACATGATACAATGTGGATGAACCTCAAAAACATACTAAGTGAAAGAAGCCAGACATATTTGATTGGCATTTATATGAATTCTTCAGATGTAAATCCATAGAAGCAGCAAGCAGATTAGTGGTTGCCAGAGGCAGAGGGGAGGAGGAAATGGGAAGTAACTGTTCATTGTGTATAGAGTTTTATTTTGCAGTGATGAAAATGTTTTGGAACTAGATAGAAGTGGTGATTGCACAACATTGTGGATTTATTAAATACCACTTAATTGTTCATTTTAAAATGGTTAAGTTTATGCAAACTGCATCTCAATTAAAAATAAGTAAAAACAGCATTCAAACTCCGGGAAAGTAACCTTTCTTTTCACATTAGGCTCTCATTAGGATTCTTAGCCCCAGTTTGGTCACTGTGCTTAAGGAAGATGTGGAGAAATTAAAATGCATAGTGAGAAGAAGGATAACACTAAGGCAGTGCTTTTCTGGGTTTGCCTTAAGCAATTTAATGGATAGCGGTACCATTTACAAGATGGAAAAATAAGCTGAAGGAAGATTTGGAGGAGAAATAAAAGTTGTTTTGGACCTGTATTTTGCAAAAAGTAGAAATGACAAATCTATGAGTCTAGATTTTAGTGGAGAGGTTAGGACTAAAACTGTCGAAGTCTATGAGAATTATATCCTTGGGTATGTGTCTTAGCTTTTTGAGGACTTTCCTTGTCACTTCAGTGTCCAGAAATGTGTCCTCCAGCAGTCTGTCAAGTGACAGCATGGAAGTCCAAGCACCTGAACATGCTAACAAATAGGATGACCACAGATTCTGATTTGCTCAGCACAATCCTGGTTTATGCCTGTTGTCCCCATGTAACATCACGCTTTCACTCTCAAAAATGTCTCATTTTTTACAATAAATTATATGATCATTCTTTGTAGAAAAGAAATTGATATAATTCTTTCAATATAATGGCAGGTATAGCAGGCTTAATAAACACATTTGGCAATTAGAAAAAAGAATATACTTAGGAATAAATATAGTTGCTTATTTTCAGACATTTTAGAACTTATTTCAGAAGTTCAATAGCATAGGAGAGAATCTTTTATTCTTATGTCTTAAGCAAAGATTAACCACACCCCCCACCATTTTATAATATAATCACAGAATTTTAGAATTGCAAGGGGACCTGAGAAGTTATTTATTCTTATCCTTTCAGCGCGCACATGAATGTTACATTAGACACAGCTGATCATATGTCTCCATTAGTCATCTCAATAGGACAGTAATACCTCCAAATCCTCAAACAGGCACTGTTCAGTCTTACTGAAAAAGAGACATTTTGTGCTAAAAATTAAGAGTGCAGTAAAATGAAGTACCTTAAGATATGTTCTTGTTGCTTGAATTTTCTGTTGCTATATAACACAAGTTTATGATATATTCTAACATAACTTTTGCTCATTTAATGAAACTAATAAACCTGAGTCCAAGAAAATATGGCTTAATACAATTCGCAAAAACCAAAATATAGAGATCCCATCCCCAAAAAAGAGACTTACAGAGTTTTTAAAAGCATGTTTATGTGACTGCACATAAATGTTTGTGTAAAAAGGGCATTATGACAGTTGATACCACAAAGATTACAGTAAGAAAAAGCACTTTATGACAATATTCCACAAATTCACAAGGATCACTTTAATATACAAAGCAATTGCTACCATTCTGAACACAAAGCAGCTAATATGTACATAGTGTTAATAAAATGCATTGTAACTTGTACATTTTTTTCTTTACACATAAAGCACAAAGATTTTAGGTAAAAAAATTAAAACAGGGATGTTTCTAGAATGTAGGGAATTTTATTAGAAATGTATTTCCCTCATAGTTATTTATTTAGTATTCAACTCCAATAGAAACATCAGAGTTAAAAATCAATACCCTGTTTTGTGCTGATAGTTTTGGGGGAAGTATTCTTTACCCCAATCCTCAAGGAAAAACCAAAAAGCCAAACACCCTTTCTCTCTAGGAATTTCCCTGATTATTTTGTTTCTAAAAAGTTTCAAGCGATACCTATAGGTTAGAAATAATTTCTCTTGTGGGGGTGGTGGTTTCTACTGACGTGGACAAATCAGTCAAGGACAATTTTACATGGAAAACTGCTAACTAGCACTCTTCTTTGCCACCTCTAATAAATCTATACTCAAAGAAAAATGCTGACAAATTATTTCCCACTTTTAATATAAATAATTTTATTACATACACAAATTGGAGTGGCACCTGGATAAAAATACATCTATAAAGCATTTACCAATTCATTTTAAAAACATAAGAAAATAAAACCTCCCAAACACAATGATAGATCATTTTACTTGGCCAACTAAACATAAGATCATTATCTGCAGGGATTTTCTTCCTTCCCTACCAATTTTTAAACAATCTTAGATTTACTCTCACATCTCTGAGATGCTCCTCAGACAGAAGCTTGGAAATGCCACGCTTCTATAGGCAAGTATTAAATAATGCCGTATAAAGTAGGTAAAATTTGAATTTCCTACTGTCTGATTCTTTTCAAAGACATTTCCGGAAGATTGTTCATTTTCCTTTTACTTGCTGGTGAGAATAATTAAAAATGTATCATGTTATACCCAGCTGGGACCTGCACCCACAGTACCAGAATGCAGACAGGTCAATATTTTCTCTCTGTGCTAAACAACTCTGCCTGTTTATAATACCAACTTGCATCACAGGCTTTGTTCTATTTTTTTTTTTTTTAATTTTTCTTTTTTTAAAAAATAAATTTCAAGTTAAAACACCTGAAATATAATCCCTCCATTCAAACGTTATCTGGTCCCTCTTAAAGTTTGTCTGCCCCCTGAGGACACATACAAAGGCTTAAGCTACATTCACTAATCAATAAGAACTTATCACAAGCAGATGAGACAGATGGAACGTCAGCACCCTGTTTGAATTTATTTGAAATTCTTCCATACTGACTCAGCTTCATGATATGTTCAATCCCTCAAGGATTAATGCCTCTCCTAGCCATTGATTCTAGAGAGTCAAGGAAACCAGTTCCTAGTACATACAATGACTGTGTAGTCAACTTAATAAAGTCAACATTATTAACATTAAAAGTATTCAAGATGTATGTAAGCCACCCAACAAAAAGTTCTAGTTGTGCTTTGTACAACTGAGTGAACAACTTTATCTCACAACTCTTTACCTACAGGCTTACATAAGCACACTTCACTTTCCCCTTCCTCATCTGAAATTAGTCAAATTTAGGCAGCATTTCCTTGATGTCAACCAAGCCAATTTAAAATAAAAATAATTTAGTAAAATGATTATTACTACATGTGGTCTCCATGATAAAACAATAATTTAATGGCCTCAAAAATCTTTTACTATTCTGGAAAAAAATAACGGGCATTTTGGCATACTATATACAGTATTAATGTTGGGATGAGGATAAAGTCTCATTTAAAACTGGAAATAAATATTATTCACTCGAATTACTTTTCCTTCAATCTTTATCCATGATAAAAAAGAATAAAATTAGGTTTTAGCCCATCTTTTAATGCTGGGCTAGTCAAATCTAATTTCCTGGTGTTTCTTTTACAGCTATTTTTCAAGGCTAGCTTTGGGGTGCTAAAATATTTTAATCAATGAAAAGCTTCTAAAGTCACATGATTTAAAGATAGGAGAAAGACCAAAAAGTCAGTTGATAATTAACTGATGAGGGAATTTCCTTAAGTTGCTAATACCCAAACTGGGTCATTTTTAAAAGTGCAAGTTACACCAAACATTTACAAAGAATATAATGTAAATATAATCCAAATAAATATACAACTTTTGTATTAGATCAATGGGAAAAAACATACCAACAGTTCTCAGGGCTGCAAAGGCAACAAAATAAAGCCTCTTGAAAATAACTGAAAAGGTATGTAACCACTATTTCTAAAACCCACTTTAATTCAAAATCCTAATTTTAATATATATTAGCCTTATATAATCCTACAAAATGAAGCAGCCTTTGATTTTCAAAATAAACAGAGACCAATTTATGCTAATAGCTGACTCTAACTGATCATAGAATTAAAAACTTATTAAATATAAAAAAAGAAACCTAGATCGAAGTCACTTCAAGTAAGTAAAAACATCCTGGTTTAAACAAACTTGTTTCTTCCTAAGCCTTTGTATGATTCCACATGCCACCACAAAAGGTTAAAAGATAGTAGGGATTAGTCCTGAGAGACAGAGATAAACTTCAGCCAGATGACATCTGATGGGACAGGCTGCCTAACTGGTATTGTGCTTTCAGAAACTAGCACTGCTGCTGACTACCGTCAAAACACATTTTCTGACAAAATCCCTGCTCAAATGAAACATCAAAATTCCTTCCCCAGGATGATTTTTGAAAAGTCAGTGGTTCCTTGTAAAAGCTATCTTTAAAATGTTCTTACCACTGTTATAGCTGCCAGAGACAAAGCATAAAAACCAAATACTTTTAGTGGGGGAAGTTGGGGAAGTTTTCAAGTGACTAGCAACATATTTAAAAGTATCAAGCCAACGAAAACTTAATAATAAAATACTTGGAAGAAAATTAGACGATAAAAAATCAATCATGAGTGCTGGAGTAATGCAGTCATAGAATCTACCAGAAGGGATGCAACAGAACACACAAAAATGTAAAATTTCATCTGACCTCAATATACTATAATACTCAGCATTCCTGACTTAAGAGCTCTCAGAGCTTTCAGATTATATACTGTATGTATATATGTACACATATATTATACAAATGCCATTTCCCCTCCCTCCCCAGGATATCTAAATGAACAGAGCACCTATGACAATATTATGGTTGCCAATATGGTACTTGAGTTTGAAAAAGAATGAACTTAAAATTGTATCTGATATCAATTTTTCAATAATGAACAAATTGGATCTAGCCCTTTCTAAACCACTTTTCAGTTAAACACTATCAAAGCTCAAAAACTCCTAAGAGTAAGATATCAAAAATAAACCCCTCCCCACTTCATTTTTATTAGAGTTAATCTGTCCTATAGATAAAAGTGCCACATGGCCCTATATTTGCAAAGTGAGCGATACCAAACTTGCTATTTTCTAGGCAAATCAGTAGCATATGTACAAATTCCTATGATGACATTTTCATTCCCTTTTGGCCAATATGAAGAGAAAAACATTTATTACTGGTAATGTGGCCACGTATGTTCTTGGCTATGGGATTTTTTTTTTTATTATGTCATTTTCTTAATAAAGGTTCTCAAAGCTTCATGCTTAAAAACAAACACCTTTCCCCTCCCCCCTAATTCTCATATTAAAAAAAAAGCCCACACAAAAGATGCTTGATTTCTATCTGTATAAACTGAAATCTTCAAGTCTTTCCAAGGGTCTAAAACAGACTTAGCAACAGGATACATTCCTCACCTCACATTCAGTAACTGACTTCAAAACCAGTGCAATCTTCCTCAAAGTATAAAGGACCAGGTCTTTATAACATAAAATCCATCCAGTTAATATGAATGTGATTGCCTTGATTTATCAGGGACTAAGAGGACCACCAACTTCCTAACTTGAAAGCCTCAGCTTTTGAAAAACAGAACTTTAGAGAATACAAATTGCTAAACACCAGGCAATTTTTCATTTGTAACACTTATGACATTAAGAATGTTCAATCTGACATTTTGACTCAATAAGAAATAATTCCAGTTTGTGAACAGATTTGTGACTTTGCTTGGTTTCTATTAAACCAGTTTTAGAAAATGACAAATCTATGCTGGTATACAAACATTTTTTATGCTATAACTTTCCCCATTAGCTCAGCAGGACAAATATCAAACTTTACAGTCGTTTGAAAGCCTTCTTGAGAATCTGGTGAATTGTCCAAACATAAAGACTACATCACTCAATTCTTAGAATGATGCTCCTTCATAAACTCTGTTCATCCTTGAAAAAAGACAATGGTTTGTTACAAACAAAAATATACCATTTACAAATACTAATTAAAAATCTCTTTTAAATGGACCCAATAACACTTAAATCTGTACATTTTGTTATCATGTTAAACAAATTTAACTTTCTTAACCCATTACTAAATATGAAGCATTAACCTTCTAAGTTTCTTGACTCTTTTTTTAAAAGGAATTTCCTTCTCAAATGAGAAATTATAACCTAACATTATGCCAGTCTCCAAATTTTTAAAATCCACCATAGTCTTATTTTTCTTTTAAGGGATTACTTTTAGATTTATCAGGCTCAGTGAATAAAACACGAAATTAATAATTAAAAGTAGTATTAGAGGAACAATGTATGACATACACAAATATAGACTATTATAGTCAGGAATTAAACTAGGTAGCTCCTTTATAAAATGACAAAGGCAATATAGCATATTGGAAAGCTAAAATATAACTACCCTTTTTAGAAGAGAACGAAAAAATGTTTTATAAGAATGACAATCCAAATATTGTAGTACAGTAGTCATTCAAATATGTCTGAATTGCTTTCCTTGTGCAAATCTAAAATCTAACACTGTACTTTTTAGAATAATATCCCTACAACTTCTTTCATTTAAAAAATTCACTGGTGATTCTCTGTTGAAGTATGTTAATGTGGAAAAGATTTAGAATCAGTATTTTTCTACATGTAACATTTCATAACAAATACATCACTTTGCTTTAACATCTCGAAGGCTTTCCTGTTGGTGGTATAATGTAAGTGCAAAGGACAACAGTAAATTAGAAATATCCTTTTAAGTAAACAAGTGACAATATAAATATTTTTGAAAGCGAGGACAAAAACATTTATTTAAAAACCTTGTTATGTAACTCAAGGGGTTGGTTTACTAATCAGCATCTTTTTACTTAGAATTTAGTACTAATTTGTAATTTTATTTACTTCAATTTAATTTAAAATTCAAATACCATGCTTTTTCATTTAGTTGGTTACTTCTTTTAATGTATTCAAAAATGCTGAACACATACAGAACTGAATTAAGAAGCAACAACTGCCCTATGGAAGAGATATAGTTAATACAGAATGTTCGTAAGAACCAAAGGACAAGGTTTCAGTATTGAAGAAGAGAATGTACATAGAAAGCACTCTGAATACATTCCTAATTTCTTCAATACCATACTAAAATTCTTTTTTAGAGTGTATGTCTCTTAACAATTTTACATAATTGACAATGAAAATGTGAAAACATGTCAATTTGGCAATCAACACTTCTTCATTGTACCTTACTTACTTTATGCATGCGGCCCACATATTACTTCAGCTCAAGAGGCTGGGGTAATTCTGTCCCTAAGGCAATCAAGGAGCTCAGCACAAACCTTGAAATCATTTTAAAAAAGATTTTCTTTTCCTTATTTCCCCCATCAATTTACAAGAAACGAATTATTACTTCTTGAGGAGGGTGGGGGTTGAAAAGCAGTCTCTTCATGATTCCTGGCGCTGAAAATTTCTTGAGGGGAGAAGTGGAGGCAGGTGTTGGAACATTCACAGTTTAATGCAAAAGCACAAATGAATGAAATTCTGAAGTTGCTTTCAGGCAGTTTTGCGCATAGAAAAAAAGAAATGTTTAGAAAATAAAATGTTTATTTTGTCTTTCTGGTTGTGGCCAAGCCAGTTCATTTTCCACCTTAACAGGTGAAAATTTAAATCCCAAATTAATCTGATTTGTGGCAGTAAAGGTCCTTAAGTGCTTTTAGCTCCTCAATCAATGTCTTGTTTTGGTTTTCAAGCACTGCCACTCTGTTTTCTAAACATTTCACATATTCTTTCTTCTTTCTGCGACACTCTCGGGCTGCTTCCCTACAAGGAAAAAAGGACAGGAAAAATTATGCAAATGATTTCTGTATTATTTATTTTGGGTTAGAGTACTTTTAAAAAGAGAAATAGCTCAAAGCAATAAACATTTTTGTACATATTAGACATGTGAAAAATATACAGAATGACTTGAAAATTATCTTATGTTAAATTTTAATCTTAATATATCATAGAAGGTTGATTTAAAACATCAAAAAAAATCATAAACAAGAGTTAATCACTTAAAAACCACATCTCTCGCTATATTAATTAAAATATTCTGCATTATCTGCAAAACTTGAAATTCTATCCATATCAATAACTAAGAAAACAGTAAAGCTAAATTTCAATGTGAAAAACATTCTTTAAATAGAAAATCTTACAAACTAATCATTTCAGAGCATTTTAAAAAACCAAAGTCTCTTTAACAAGTAGTGAGAAAACTGGATATCCACATGCAAAAGAATGAAGTGGACCCTTACCATATACCATATACAAAAATTAACTCAAAATGGATCAAAGACCTTAAACGTAAGACCTAAAACATAAAACCTCTAGAAAAAAACAGAGAAAAAGCTTCCTGTCATTAGATTTGGCGGTGATTTCTTAAATATGACATCAAAAGCATAGGCAACAAAAACAAAATAGAAAAATAGGATGACATCAAACTTAAAAACTTCTGCACATCAAATGATACAATAAACAGTAAAAAGGCAACCTATGGAATGAAAGAAAATATTTGCAAATCATGTATCTGTTAAAGGGTTAAGATCCAGAAAATATATGAGAACTCCCACAACTCAACAATCCAATTTTTAAAAAATGGGCATAGGACTTTGAGTAGGCACTTCTCCAAAGATATATAAATGGCCAATAAGCAGATGAAAAGAGGCTCAACATCAATAATCATTAGGGAAATGCAAATCAATCCATGAGAATGATTATAATAGCTACTATTAGCAAAAGTCATCACAACCACCACCAGAAAATACCAATTGTTGATGATAATATGTTGGTGAGAATATGAAGAAATTCAAACCTTTGTGTACTCTTGGTGGGAATCCAAAATAGTGCAGCTGCTATGGAACAGAATGAGGGTTCCTCAAAAAATTAAAAACGGAATTTACCATATGATCCAGCAATACCACTTCTGGCTACATACCCGAAGGAAATGAAAGCAGGGTCTCAAATTCATATCTATGCATCCATATTCACTGCAGCATTATTCACAATAGCCAAGAGGTAGAAGCAACCCAAATGTCTATCAACAAGGTGAATGGATAAACAAAATGTGGTATATACATACAATGGAATATTAGGAAGGCAGGCCTGTTGTAAGCTACAACATGGATGAACCTCAAAGGCATATGATAAGTGAAATAAGCTAGTCTCAAAAAGACAAATACTGTAATTCTACTTATGAGGTATCTAAAGTCAAATTCACAGAAATAGGACTTAGAATGGTGGATGCAAGGGAATAGGGGTAAGGGTAGGGAAAGGGGGAAATGGGGATGTTTAATGGGTACAGTTTCAGTTTTGTAAGATGAATACGTTCTGGAAATCTGTACAATTCACATTGTACCACAATGTGAATATATTTAACATTATTGAACTACTTAAAAATGGTTAGGATGATAAATTTTAATTCATGCTGTTTTTTTAACCACAATTAAAAATAAATTATTTTATAAAATAGATTAAAAATAATAAAATTATTTTTCTTTAGCAAGCTAAGTCTAAACCAGTGTTCTTTTTTAGCTCTATGTGGTCAAGGGCCACATCCTATTCTTTATAACCTCAGCCAGTCGCACAGAGACTAGAACAAGGCAGGTTCTTGTTGAAGAAACATAAGAGTTGAAAGCAAGAAGATTCTATGTCTTTAAAAAATGAAAAACAAGGCCGGGCGCTGTGGCTCACGCCTGTAATCCTAGCTCTTGGGAGGCCGAGGCGGGCGGATTGCTCAAGGTCAGGAGTTCAAAACCAGCCTGAGCAAGAGCGAGACCCCGTCTCTACTATAAATAGAAAGAAATTAATTGGCCAACTGATATATATATATAAAAATTAGCCGGGCATGGTGGCGCATGCCTGTAGTCCCAGCTACTCGGGAGGCTGAGGCAGAAGGATCACTCAAGCCCAGGAGTTTGAGGTTGCTGTGAGCTAGGCTGACGCCACGGCACTCACTCTAGCCTGGACAACAAAGTGAGACTCTGTCTCAAAAAAAAAAAAAAAAATGAAAAACATAGTAATTTACAATCATTCATTTACATCAGGGGAAGTGTAGCGTAGCAGTTAATAATATCTTCAGTGTTAAGATTCTTGGGGTTAAGTGGTTCTACCTTACCCCAGGAAAATTATTTAACTTTCTTAACTGTAAAAAAGACATGGTAATATTATCTACCTCAAAAGGTTTATGAGGATTAAATGAGTTAATATATGTAAAGCACACAAATAGTACCTGGCATTTTATAAATGTGTTAGCTATTATTATTTCTAGAAAATTCAAATGGTAGAATACTATAATTCCATTAATGTCTTCATCCTCATATAGCCTATCACTTCAGAAAAACGTAGCACTTGCTTCTGATGCATACTGATTTTTGGAATAAAAACTACATCTAATGTTGTATTATCCACAATAGAGAAATATGGACAATATATAATCCATAGCATCACTTAAATATGGGAGGAGATGGATTAAAAATGGCCCCAGCCTTCCACTGAATAGTGAAGAGGGCAAGCCAAGAGGTACTTTGGGGCCAAGAGGAAAACAGTGATCTAGAAAGGATGATACTAGAGATCCCTTTGGATGTTCTGTATTTGGTAAATTCTAACAATATAGAAAGCATGTAGGATGTATATATACTTATAAGTCTAATTAAAGCCAGGGTTGACTAATCTTATTTCCCTTGCTTTCTCCTCTCCATTACCTGAAAATATATGGTCCATAAGTAGAGTGCCCATATGAATGCTACAGCTACATGCTAATTTCCAAAGTTAAACTAATATGATCCTGTAGGTTAGTATCTCCTTTGTTCTATCATAATCAGTATACTATAGTATTGTGAAAGATTAAAGTATATGATCCTCAAAAGAAAAAAACTATGAAACACTAGGCTAAGAAAATTAACTTATTTCTTTAACACAAGATCTCTTGGATCTTTTCAATATACCAATGTGAATTGAGACTCTATAAAAAGGAATTCCATGTAGCATGTCTATATTTGACTATAACTTCTTTTAGGGGAATAGTAAATAAATTTCAACTAACACTCTCTTCAGAATGATATTCAAGTTAGCCACAGTTTAAAATAAATAAACTTGGATACAAATTTAATAAAATACGATACACTAGTGAAAGTTCTAAACTAGGGATAGGAAATTTGGGTTTAGACTCTGGCTTGACACTAACTAGTTATGTAGCTTCCAGCAGGTCCCTTCCCATTCAAGAACTGCTTCCTCATCTGTTTAGAGAAAAAAAAAAGGAGTCATCAACATGTCCCAAACCAAGGTACAAGTTAGCTTTGTATTAAGGAGTATGCAAAGCCAAGAATAAATGTGGTGTATCATTCTAAAGCACCTATTTTGGTTAACGGGTGGCAGACATTTTCATATTAAAATACACAGCACTACATTTTAGAGTAGAATACAAAATTCAAATGAACTTTAAATAAAAATTTTAAAACAAATTTCTAGCTTGGAGAGTGCCTCTTAAAGCTTTTCAAAAATTTCTATCTAAATATTATAAGTACAGAAGAGAATGAAAGGACCTTGCCAATAAATAGATTGGTATTGGGACTTAGTTTGAAGGTTAAACTGACCTCTGATTTTTTTAAAATATAGAAATAGGATTTTATGATTCCAAGCATTCAGGTAAACAGATGACCTACAAATTCTGAAATTGATTTGGTAGACACATTTTTTTCAAAAAAAGTTCTTACATATCAATGTGTTTCAACATCCTCCTACCACATTTACTGAACTAATTTTTTTGCCTCTTAGTCTGTTTTGTGTTCCTGTAACAGAATACAGACTGAGCATTCTAAATCCAAAAATCTAAAATCCAAAATGCTCCAACATATGAAATTTTGAGTGCTATTATGAAGCTCAAAACAAATGCTCACTGAAGCATTTCAGATTTGGGGTGCTAAACTGGTAAGAATGATACAAATGTTTAAAAACCTGAAATCTAAACCCTTTGGTCCTAAGCCATTTCAGATAAGGGTTACTCACAGCCTATATCACAGGCTGGGTAACTTATAGAGAAATTTATTTCTTACAGTTCTGGAGGCTAGGAAGTCCAAGACCTAGGGACCTGCATCTGGGAAGGAGAGCCTTTTTGCTGTATCATCCTATGGTAGAAGGTGGAAGGGCAAGAGAGCATGAGACAGCAAGAGAAAAAGGGAAATGAACTTATCTTTTTTATCAGGAACCCACTTCTACGGATAAGTAACCTAATCTATATTCCCATGATAACAGCATTAATTCATTCATGAAGGCAGAGCCTTTATGACCCCTAATCACTTCTTAAAAGTACCACCTCTCAACACTTTTGCATTAGAGATTAAGTTTCTAGCACACACACTTTGGGGGACACATTCAAACCACAGCAACCTCTATGTAATACTCTTATTTTGTTTCACTTATTCCTTTCTTTTTTGGCATCTTTAATCCTTCCATACTAACTGCTTTTTCTCTTTTGCCTTCAGATTTGTATAGGTCTTTCAAATCTTCATTTACATAAATTGTATTAATTAAAAAATATCTGTATTGGTTCTGGCTTCTGCTCCAGGATGTAGAGAACTAGGAAAGAATGTTACTCACATCCTTTAATGAAAAAGAGGACTAATTTCAAATTCATGAATTTTTTCAAACCCATCAGACAACTAAGGTTATATAAAACTGACCCCAAATCTAAGGAGACAGTGCCTCAGGATAAAAAGTGGCATCTATCCTCACCTGGGATAGAGGCAACTGGACAGTGTTAAAAAGAGTTCACCTAGAACAGG